CTGAATCATTGTAAAGTAAATTGCAGACACCATGATGCGTTACCCCCAAACACTTCAGCATGTATCCAGCCCCACCCCCAAAATAAAAAAGGACATTTTCTTTCGTAATTACTTATCACACCTACAAAATTAACCCTAATTCCTAACCATCTTCTGACACTCAGTCTAGTAGAGGTTTACAAAGTACAGAAGCCAGAGACTGATCAAGAAGGTCTCAGGGGAGAAAAATGGACCTCTCTATTTTTGAAAAGCTTCACAGTGTTGGAGCACAGCCAGAATTGAGAAACACTGCTTTATGTTAGAAGTTCTTTCAGGAAGGAGATGATGTCTCATACCTGCTTTATCTTCGTTAGTGTTCAATACAGGTTAAGCATCTCTTATCCAAAATGCTTGGGACTAGAAGTATCAGATTTCAGATTTTTTTCAGATTTTAGAATATTTACAGAATTTATTACTGATTGGACATCCCTAATCTGAAAATTCGAAATGCTCCGATGGGCATTTCCTTAAGAGCATCATGTTGTCACTCAAAAAGTTGAGATTTTGGATTTTTGGATTAGGGATTCTCAACCTGTTTAAGGAACATAATAGGAACTTTTTTTTTTTTTTTTTTTTTTGAGGCAGATCTTGTTCTGTCACCTGGGTTAGACTGCACTGGTATCATCATAGCTCATTACAACCTCAAACTCCTGGGCTCAAGTGATCCTCCTGCCTCAGCCTCCTGAGTAGCTGGGACTATAGATATGTTCTACCTCAACTGGCTAAATTTTTTGTAGAGACAGGATCTTGCTATGTTGTTCAGGCTGGTCTTGAACTCCTGGCTCAAGTGATCCTCCCACCTCGGCCTCCCAGAGTGCTAGGATTACAGGTGTGAGCCACCTCACCCAGCCCATAATAGGAACTTGATACTTTTCAAACTCTTTCCTCCCCCAAATTATTACAACATCTTCATAATGCTAGGCTTCCGTTTATTTTCAACTTTGTGATTAAAACCTGAGATATTTCCCAGTTGTGCATTTACCTTTCAATGCTTGAATTTTAGTCTCTACTAAAAATAGAAAAAATTAGCTGGACATTGTGGTGTGTGCCTGTAGTACCAGCTACTTGGGAGGCTGAGGCAGGAGGATTGCTTAAGCCCAAGAATTTGAGGTTGCAGTGAGCTACAGTGACACTACTGCGCTTGACCTAGGGTGACAGAGTGAGACTCTGTCTAAAAAAAAAAACAAACCAGTGAATATCCATACACTTATTGACTAGTATTTTGGGGCATTTTATGAGATTTATTAACTTTCAATTTTTAAAGAAATGCTTCTTCCAAAGAGTCTTTTTTTGCCATAGTATCTTAGAGCTTTTGGTTGTAAAGAGACTGCAGGCTA